TTTTGAGACAGGCTCGCGATGCAGTCCAGGCTGGCCTTGAACTCACTATGTAGCCCAGGCTGGCCTCGAACTTGCACCAATCCTCCTGCCTCAGCCTCCCGAGTGCTGGGATTTACAGACGTATGCCACCACACCTGGCTGTCTTTAACTGTAATAAATTACTTTTATTTAAACACACATGGTATTTTTTGATCACCTCTTGTATGTTCTGCTTCCCAAGTGCCTTGTACCTCCCTTACCCCTGTCCTAGTCACCCCATTTTTAATTCCAGCTTCCTGGACCTTCTAACCTGAGTGACTGCAAATGCCTCCTAACTTTTCCATTTGTCTATTCTTGCTTCCCTTAAATCCATTCTTCTTGCTGAGACCAAAATAACTTGAAAAATACATCTCTGACCGTGTCAATCTTTGATTTAAAACCCTTAGACACCCCCAGTGCCGTTAGGCGTGTAGCCCATGGTCATGGGTGTTGAGAGTGAAGAAGTGACTAGTTTCTTTCCCCCAGGACGAAGATCTTCTCCCAAGTAAATATTTTGAAGTTGACTTTCCAATGATCGTCACACGAAAGCTGCACAACATCAAGTAAGTGTTGCTGTGCTGGAGGAAGAGGAGTTGTGGTCCTGGACCTCGCTTCAGGGCAGGTCTTTCCTCAGCCCCTTCCCTGCTCTCGCTCTGGACCCTCTGTCAGTGTGCTGTGCGGTCTTCACCACGCAACCAGCACATGGGACTCTTCCAGCCATTAATGTGACTTCTCTGAACATTTACAGGGTAGCCTGTCATGGTTGAATAATTTGAAATTTTATGTGCATTTTGTTTCCTTCTTTATCCCCGGGGCACAGAAAGTAACCTGGCCCAGAAGATAGGTGCAGGAATTTTGTGTGTGTGATTGAATGTAGAAGAAGGTACTGTAGCCTTCTGAGTCCAGTCTTCAAGGCATTGCTGGGTGCAGATGACAAGTTTGCTAATCTTTACTGAGAACCTTCCTTTGTTTATTTTTGTTGTTTATTGAGACAGCGTCTCACTGTGTATCCCAAGCTGGTCTCGAACTCACAGTGATCCCCTGCCTCAGCCTCCACATGTGCCACCACGCCTGGCTGCTGACAGCTCTTTGCTGGGACCCTGTTAAAGCTTCCCTTGGGCCACCATACCCAGTCCTCACAGCAGATTACGAGTTAAGCACTGTTCCTGCCTGCTTTGTGCAGAGGAGGAGTTAGTTTTAGGCTTAGAGAAGTTCATTTTGCTGAAGGTCTCCTGCCTAGGAATTGTGGAGCCAAGCTTTAAGCCCTGGCTTGGGCCCTTGGTCAAGGCTTCTGCATAGTTTTTATTACACTTCTTGCCACTGCCCCCTTAACTGAGTATAATTAAATTCTAATTCTTATCTTTAAAAAAAATTAACAGATACAAAAGTTTTAGCTAGTGCTTGAAAGATACCTAGTCTATACAAGTTGGAAATTTTCAAGCTTTTATTTGTTCTAGTCTGTACTATTGAAAATGAGTTTTTCACTTTCCTAGTATAAATTGTATCTTTTATTAAATATCCTGGGCTGGGGATGTAGCTTTGTGGCGCTGCACCTTCCTGGCAAGCTCAAGGTAATGAGTTTGATCCCCAGTACTGGAAAAAAATTTTTTTTTAAATTTGAAAAAGGCAAATTCTGATGTCTCTGGTCTTGGGATTTTTTTTTTTTTTGTACCAGGGATTGAACTCAGGACCTTGCGCTTGCGAGGCAGGTGGGAGAACCACTAAGCTAAATCCCCAGCCCTCCTGATGCCTTTGGAACTGCGGAATATTACTAAGCTAAGGGTTCTGAGTGGAATAGGAGTGAGTGGGCACTAAATCTCTGAGATGGTTTCCTGGGAAGAAAAATGGACTGATATTTGTGTATGGTTGTTGGGATATTGAATTTGGTTCTTCAGTTTCTCATTTTTTGCATTTGTGGGATCAAGGGAGTTGTCATATAAGTGTTACTAAACTTTTGCTTTAAGAATCAATTCTTGCTGGACGTGGCCTGAGTTCGAGCCCAGGTACCAAAAAACAAAACAAAACAAAACAAAAAACCAACAGCAGCAATATATACAGGTTGAACTTCCCTACTCCAAAATATGAAATCCAAAATGCTTGAATCTGAACCATTTGGAGCATCATGTCAGATCAGGGTTATTCACCGGGCAAACTTGTGCAGATGTCCCCAAGTCTGAACATTGGGAACCGGTAAGGCTTTCGGCCCTGAGCGTTTCCGGTCGGAAATACTCATTCTGTGATTTGCCATTCTGCAGTGGGCAATGGCAGTTTGGTAATGAATGAGTAAACTGATTTTTTTCTCCTCTTTCCGCAGAAACAAACCTGCTCTAGCCAAACCCATTGTGGAGCTGCATTCGGAGGACGCGCTTCAGATGAGTGAGTGGCCTTTCGCCCATGAGCGGTGCGGCCGTCAAAACAGTCTTGCTTTCTTTCCTTTTGAAAGATGTGTGTGTTGGGTTACACAAGGACTTTTCCCCACTGTGTTTATGCTTCTGCCCCATGAAGGAGTTTTTAAGTCACTTTTATCCTTTTTTGTTTTGTTTTACTTTTTGATCCGTACACGTTTGCATTGCGGAATGACTGCAGTCCCTTGGGGAGTTGGTACATGTACATAACAAGTCTCAGCTCTTTGTTTCATCTCGATGCCTCTCTTTACTTCCTGTTAGCTACCTTTTAGTTTGCTCTGTATTTATATTTTGAGTTTCTCGTATAATTTCTGTGGGACTAGTCTTAGATGTTCATAGGCCCCCAATCTTAAATTTTTTATTAATGAACTTCAGTTAGTCACCAATATTTCAAAACCAGATTTCTCATGAGAATCTCAGTGTTCAACTTTTCTTGGGAAAATCAAAACACGGAAGCATTACAACTCTATGGCAGTAGTCAGTGGTGCCGCTTGCTCAGTGGGTCTGCCTGCTGCCTGTCACCACCCCTCTTGTCTGTTACCTGTCCTCTGTCTGGGCTCCCAGTGCCTGAGGGTCTTGGACTTTCTTCCAGGGCCCTAGACTACTGCAGTCAGTATTCTGCCCAGCATTTAATTATGAATGTTTGTAACAACACTTTCTTTTTTGCAGTACTGGAGATTGAACTCAGGACCTTGCAATCGCGAGGCAGGCACAGCCCAACTGAGCTAAATCCATGGCCTATGTAACAACACTTTCTTCATGTCTCAGCTTTCCAAATTTTGTTTCAAAAAATCTTCCATTGTGTTCAGTTTGTGTCTGGCAGAGAAATTCCAGGGATGAGTGCTCCTTCACAACAGAAAGCGTGCTCAGAGAGGGTGGCCTTCCTAGATGGGCTGCACAGATGACATGGTCACGGGCGGGCCACGAGATAAATCTGTTAGGCACCATTGTGGTGCTGTCGTCATCCTGCTTGTAATTAGAATCCAGTAAGTTTGCATAGAAAATATCTTCCCTGGCTTGTGGAGGAAAAAAAGCCAAATTATCAGTCGTGCTTATACAAGTTTGGCCTCTTGCTGGGCTGTTTGCTTTCTCTCTACTTTTGCTGCTATGATTTTCTGTACCCTTGGTTGTCAGCATCATGATCTTTAATGAAGGCTTTAATAGTCCGTGTTACTTTTGATCAAATAGTGTGGAAATATATGAAGTAGGAAGTGAAGACCCTCCATAATCCTGCCCATCAGATAACCAGTGTTTGGAGTGTTTCCTAACAACAGGTGGGCAGCTGGGGGAAGGTAAATAGCCACACGGATAGGATGATGTGCACCCTAGTGCCTGACATATAGAAAGTACAATAAATTCCTGCACAGTGAATAAATATATGTTGCAGCTCTCTGTATACGCGTGCCTATCTGTTGGATGACTAAGTCTGTAGTCATATTCATATATTTAATGCAATTTTAACCAGCAGCGAATTATTTGTCCACATTGTTTTGTAACTTTTCAAACCCTAATAAATCATGACCATCTTTCAGTGTCAGAGAATGTCAGTCTGTCTTTAATGGCTTTATGGTGCTTCTTTGCATGCAGATTTCATTGATCTGTCCTGTATTGATGGTCCTTTAACTGGCTGTCTTTTTAATGGCAGTATTGTAGGTGCATGTTTTTAGAAATTGCTACCTCAAAGAATTGTACATAGGGGCTGGGGATTTAGCTCAGTGGTTTTGCCACCTGCCTCACAAGCACAAGGGCCTGAGTTCGATCCCTGATACCAAAAAAAAAAAAAAAGATTGCACATTATGAATTCTAATGGGTATGGCAAACTGCTTTTTACTTCTCTTTTCATTAACTTAGGTTTTTCAGTAGAGTTGGTGAGGATTCCTTTCCCTATGTCCGTACTTGCTATGATCATTTAAAAAGTTTCTACAGTCTGATGGGCTGAAATAGCATTTTCAGCAGGGGTGTGTGTGTGTGTGTGTGTGTGTGTGTGTGTGTGTTTAGCACAGGTGATTCACCCCAGAGCCTTGCACTGTGCTACATCCCCAGCCCTTTTTCTTTTCTTTTCTTTCTTTTTTTTTTGGTACTGGGGATTGAATTTGGGTCCTTGCGCTTACAAGGCAGGCCACCGAACCACTGAGCTAAATCCCTGGCCCTTTCATATTTTTAAATATTTATTTTATTTTTAGTTTTTTTGAAACAGAGTCTCACTCCCTAATTGAGATTGGTTTTGAGTTCTGCCTTGAGTTCTTGGCAGTCCTGCCTCAGCCTCCTGAGTGCTGGGATGACAGGTGTGCACCACCACGCCTGGACGCCTTTTCATTTTCTTGGCTCAAGGTTCTCAGTTAAGAGAGCCTGAATTATTAACAGTGATACAGTGTCACCCCCAGCCCTGTGGTCTGTACCATTGAGAAAACTGAGAATAATGCCACAGTAAATATTCAAACCATCTTTTTCTGTTAAAGTTGCAAACGGACAAAAAGAACAAGGGCTCAAGAGATGGTGGAGGAGGGGAGGGAGGGAAGGGAAATGGAATGAAAAAGAGTTAAGGTTTCTGTGCACATGTACCATCTCCCCGTAAGGAATGTAATAAGCATTATGCACTTCACACTTGTACTGATTAAGAAAAAAAAAAGGAAGGAAAAAATATTTGGAAAAGAATTAATTGCAAGCATGCACACATATCCCGCCGGATCACTGAGCCCGTGGACCCACCCCTGACGTCATTGCCAGGGTCCTTTCATTTGTACCAGAGCTTCTGAAAATTCAGTTCCAGACCAGCAACATCAGGGGCACCTGGGATGTGTTGGAAACATAAACGTCTGTTCTGGAGAGATCTAGGGCATCTGGAACCCAGGACAGGCTGTGGGTCTGAGGTCCCCCAGCCCGGAGAGGTGATCGCAGTGACCATCCGAGCCGAGAG